ACTGGCTCGATAGAATCTGCTATGAATTAGAAGAGCATGAATCGTCACAAGATTTGAGAAAGGTCTATCAAAACATTGATTTAATCTCAGGAAAGAAAAGAAGAATGAAAATTGGGGCAATAAAGGATGAGAATGGAGAAATTTTAACGCAGAAGAAAAGGCAATTAGTAAGATGGAATGAATATTTGACAAAACTTTATAAAACAGAGGATAATATGGAATGTCATCTGGAGGAGGAATATGACTATGATGAAATCCCTAAATTTCTGGAGGATGAAGTTGAGATAGCCTTGAAAAAATTGAAGAATGGGAAGGCACCTGGAATTGATGGCTTACAAGGGGAATTGCTTAAATTAATGCGTTCTGAGGAAAGAAGGATAATGAGTCATGTTCTTAATAAAATTCTTGCAGGAGAACAACTACCCACAGACTTTACTAATTTAATATTTATACCTATACCCAAAATAGCAGGAACACTGGAATGCTACAAACATAGAATAATAAGTTTAATAAGCCATATCTCAAATTTGGATTTAGAAAGAACAAAGGAACTAGAGAGGCCATTGCATTAATTAATTAATTAGACTTATTGGTGAAAAAATGATTGAAAAAAATAGGGATCTTTATCTGTGCTTTGTGGACTATGAAAAGGCGTTTGACAATGTTAATCACATAGTTTTATTTGAAATACTTCAAAAAATTGGAATAGATAAAAAGATAATTAAAATTATTCTCGCTTTATACAAAAATCAGAAAGCAATAATAAAAATTGATGAAGAAGAATCCAACTGGATAAGGGTGGAAAAAGGAGTGAGACAGGGATGCAGACTTTCGCCACTGCTATTTAATATTTACAGTGAGTGGATGATGCCAGAAGCACTTGAGGATTGTAATGAAGGAGTGAAAATCAATGGATGCTTGATAAATAACATAAGATATGCTGACAACATGGTCCTGTCGACAATCGACTGTTCAAAACTGGATTGGAGAAATTCCATATGAAAATAAATGAACAGAAGACAAAGGTAATGAAGGTTTCAAAGAGTGAAGATATGGATGAATTCCAGATCATTCTGGGAAATAAGGAACTTGAAGGGGTTAAAAAGTGTGAATATCTAGGAAGCTGGATAACGAGTGATAATAGATGTAATATGGAAATTAAAAGCAGAATTAATAAAGCAAAAGTTGCCTTTTATCAGATTTACCATATATTAACAAACAGAGGCCTTAACATAAAACTGAAAATAAAGATCCTAAGGACAATGATCTGGAGTGTATTAACATACGGATGCAAGGCATGGACTCTCGCATGTGAAATGATGGAAAGAATTAACTCTTTTGAAATGTGGTGCCTGAGAAAGATGCAAAGAATAAGTTGGATGGAGAAAATGACAAATGCGGAGGTTTTGGGCAGGCTGGGCTTGAGGAGAGAGTTGCTTATAAATATCCAACAAAGAAAAGTACGATATGCTGGACATTTGGCTATGGGATCAGGAGGACAACTGCTAAAGACAGTGATTGAGGGACTGGTGGAGGGGACAAGACCTAAAGGAAGACTCCAAAAGACTTGGAGAGACAACATCAAGGACTGGACTGGAAAGGATATAAGAGAAGTCTGGAATAGGGAAACGTGGAGAGGAATAGTTCATAAATGCAACCCTCTGTAGAGAGGATGCCACTGGATAGATAGATAATAAAAATATGTACAATAGATTTACAACTAACATTGCATTTGTTATTTTTCAACATTTGCAAATTGAGCTGAGTAAGATTTATGCTTAAATCTAGAGTTTGTTTTTTAAAATAGAAGCAATGATATCTGATTTAGTGCTGATTTGGAAAACTTGATTTCTCTCAAACTTCATTTCAGAACAGTGTGAGCCCGAGGGTTTTGAGGGCATAAATGTTTGAGTTTAACATATTTTTACATTAGAGGATGAAAAAATAATTTATCGCAAGTTATAATGGAAATAGATCGGGTGTCGAATCTTACACATCGACAAGGTAGGAAGGAAGAAAATCAAGTCATCGCCCATTTGTTAATTAGTCAATGTGCACATGCTAATTAGTCATCATAACGAGTGAACAACCAGTTGGCTCAGTGCCAACGACGATCATATAAAAACAATCATCACGGGACGTTCAGGGCAATCGTCCCCTCAGTGCGACCGTCCCTCCGCACGATCATCAGGAAGGTCTGAGTACAAGTGTCTCCCATTTTGGTCCTGTCCGAGGAGAAGCCGGTAGAAGACATAAGCCTGTGACAGCCAGCCAGCTTCCATAGTCCAGAATGATCATTGCATACTGTCATCCAACATAAGGTATACCTGACCAAAAATATAACTCTCTCACTATAGAGCCTTTGTAAACTCTCTCACGTGGCATAGTGACTAGTTAGATTGTCATTATAGATAAATTTGTGTTATCTGCATTTAAGCACTAAGTCTATAACTTCCTTATGTATACTCCTGTAAATTAACTTTAGTTATAGAATAAACCTTTATTTTGTTATTTTTTAAACCTGTCTCCTCTCTCTCTGAGGAAACCTGTCAACTTACCGACGCACTCCCCACTCGTTTTGCCCTCCTAGCCATCCAAACGACTCCGAGATCGGGCTTTATCAGCCTCTGCAGATTAAGTGGTCAGTATGAGATTAACCCCTGACCCACTGCTTATCTCACAACAGTTTAATTTAGTTTTTATGTAATAGTTTTGAGCTCATTGCCAGCCAGCAATGTTTATGAATATAAAAATAAATATAAAGCTGTTAAGCTGGAGTTTGGACTCAATTCTCATGTTAAATTTTTTTAAATTCTAGGAATGTCAAGCAAACATTGAGTAATGTGTTTATTTACACTTGTAAACAGAACTAAACTGCTGTGTATACTTTGTAAGCACCCAAAATTCCAGCTTATGTCTATGGCATAAGCTGATTTTGGTATTTATGTTGGCCATGAGCAATCTGTTATCTGCAAGATCTTAATATATGACCTTGGAACTTTGGCAACATTATTTTAATGCCAAGCAATTGTCGGATTACATTAGGCTGTACTAATACAATTATTATAGCTCAATGTAATCTAGCAATTATTTGTCATTAACCTAAAAATTGGGTTAATGGATGCTTTATTTGTATAACTTTATTTTTCTATTTTCTGTTCTGTGCTGTTATGCAATACTTATTAAGCTGATTTTTGTGACAAAGAACATTCAAACTAAACTCAACCAGTGTGAAGATGAGAATAAAGTATACATTATTACTTTGCATATCATTAGTAGGCCTATATATTATTTTAGTACTTAGTGTACTGGTTGTTATGGACCATGTTGGTACTTTGGTAGGCTTAGTCTGACTCTAAGAAAAAATGTATGTGGCCCATTGGAAGCCTAGGAAGTTCCCTTGTGGCCCTTAATCCAGAAAAGGTTGCTCATCATTGGCTTATGACATTAATGATCTGGATATGCTGTCCAAATAAAATTTGGTTGAGATCAGTCAAGTGGTTTTAGAGTAATTTATTTAAATCTAATGACATTTGATTGTAAAGAAATGAGTTTTGTTTGCTTGGATCATTGAAATTGGAAAATTCATTAAGTATAAGGAAATTTATCTGCAAGACTACTCTACTGCTTTCATCAAGTAACAAGTTCATCAGTTGCAAAGAAAAAATTCAGTTCTTTAGTGATATTGCTTTTGGTGGATGCAATTGAAAGTGAAGAAAGTTTCTCTCAACACACTGTTAATCAGAGTTAGTTCTTGATCAGTCTTAACTTTGAAAATGATTGTTCTGCAGATGCAACAGTTATCAGTACAATTAGTTTTTAATAATAACTAATTTTATGAATTAGCTACTTAAGTATACTGCCAAGTTTGCAAGGCCCAAGGCATTGCCTTTTTTTACCTTTATGTAGAGCCAATTCTAATGATTGTATAAAAACAATTCAAAAACCCAGTCTCCAATTGCAAATAATAATCTTTTATTATAACAATGGTTTTATTCCAAGCTATAAGCCAATATATCTAATGTAAATAGCTTGGAATAAAGATTTCTCTTAATGAGATGATATCACAAGATGGCTGCTGTGTAAAAAATTTAAATGCAAGTTGAATACTTGATTTAAAAATATATTTTATGCCATTTTCTGAATGAAGAATGATGATTATTTTCTTGGGCTTTATAGGAAGAAATTTGGGAATCTGATTTTTGCCATTAATTATGCAAAATAAACATAAATTCAAAAATAAATTTTTTCTGAATTTTGAGCTTTTAATTGATGTATGTGAAATAGTTTTAAAAGTTTAAAATGTATTGCCTAGATATGTTAGTTTTGAATAAAATAAAAAGTTAATCTATTTTTTGTGACAATTGCAAATAATTTATATTAAAAATTGTAACTGTTTCTAAAAATTTGAATTCTGCCTGACAATTATGATTAAACAAATTTTGCTTTCAAATATTCTTTGTTTGAAAGGATTATATTGGAAACAGCAATTGCCATTCTAAATAATTTCAGCCATTCAATTAAGCATACTTTAGTCATTTCTCGATAAGTATACTTATTTATGTTAAGAATTTTTATGTAGTTCAGAAATAATTAAATTGCTTAAGATTATTGTGTGTGCTTATTTTTATGGTCTACCATGGTAGCCAAAATGCAGCTCTTCTAGACCTTATTGCAGCTTCTATATATTGGATCCCTACCCTTAATGTATATACAGTATAAAAGTTATATATAAAACAATGTTCGAGTATAGGATGCAGCTCTCACATATTTCTGATATGCAGTATATGACTCCTATCATGACAAAGTTTGGCCATCCCTGGTCTATGTTTCTGTAATTCCTGTGAATATTAATATAGTTTCAGAAAAAGAATAAATATCTTTATTAAGCACAGTTTAATTCATATTTGTCTTTATTTAATGTTAGATTTTTAATATTAAACAGAATTAGAAATATATTATGAATATTTTTAATATACTGTCTTATTTTTGTTATTTAGGGAGATATAGTTAAACAACTGAAAGAAAGAAATGCTCCAGAAATTGATATTAAAAAAGCAGTTAATGAGCTGAAAGCAAGGAAGAAAATTCTTGAAGATAAGGTAGAGAAATATGATTCTTTAAACTTTTGTACATCTCTTTTTAAATTAAAAAAAATTACTTTTGATAATTTGAGTGCTGTATTATTTATGAGTCCTTCAAATGACTCATAAATAATACTGTGGCATGGCTGCATTTCAATATTGGTTTAGTAGGTTTCACCAGTGAATGAAATAATAAAATTACCAATGACTGAATTGCTCAGATATGGTGCGGCATGGTCAAAATGGCCCTTCTGCAAAAAATCTCAGTCACTCAGAATTGCTATAGTAGCCATATTCATACATTCCTCTGGATGTGTTTATTATTTCCTCTGACACTCAGATGTTTATCCCATTGCTACACAAATCCATGGAACTCTTTACATGAAAGGCAGTTACTGTCCACAATATCTGAGATGTGAAAACCACAGTGACAGGTTTTGACTTTGTATGATGGGTAAGGGCTTCTCAGCAGAATCACTGTAGGTGCCTGGTGCTTTATTTTGGTCAGAAATGGTATATTTATTTATTTATTTTTTCTTTTATCATTATCAGACTAGCACCAAAAAATAGCTTCTTGTCCTCTCCAGCTATGCTATAACTAATTGCACACTGTATATTATTTTTATCTGAATACAATCAATATGAAATCTGGTAGTAGCATGTCACTTGTAATAGTGCTCTCTCTCAAGTATACATTTCAATTGATTGATTCACATGTATGTATGAAAGATGAAAGCACCTTAGGAAAAATGTTTTAAAAATAAAATATAGTTTCTGAACCTAATCAATGTAAAATTTTTTGAGTTTACAGAATGAATTTTTTATTAATTACACAAATAATGATCTAAAATGTATAATGTATTTTATTGTTCAGGAACTGGAACTTGCTCCTCCAGAAATTGGATTTGAACGTTCAAGAATGGAAGATCTTTTAAAAAGAAGATTCTTCTATGATCAGTCGTTTTCTATTTATGGAGGTAATTATGTTTCTGAACATTATATAGTTAAAATATTAAGTAGTAATTGTAGAAAGTAGTAAGCATTTTAAAATTTTAATTATCTTTACATGTTTTTTATTTTAAATATATTAGCAATAAAGCTATTTTTGCAGTTTATCATTGTCATGGATACAAATCATAAAATTATTCCCAAATTTACAGTTTGTTTAAAATATAAGGTATAGTATGATTTCAGCAGTTCTCAACCTTTAAAAAGAGATACAACTTTTTTCTTGATAAAAAAATTTTGTGCTCCTCATACTTTTCATGAAAGCATATGATTTACAATTTTCTTAAGATAAATTTTATTTATTAGAATATAGTTAATAACTTTATTATAATAAAGTTAAGATTTTCTTAGTTTTTTTTTTTTTTTTGATAATATAAAATTATATATCAAGCAAAACAAAAGTAAAATAGGATACAGAGATACAAACTAAGAAATGAAATCAAATTTTGATGATGTAGTAACTACATTGTAGTCATAATTAGAATGATATTTTTTCTTTGTTCCTCCTGGAAAGTGTCTTATGACCACAGTTTCATTACCACTGGTTTAATATAATTACTTTGGGACTTCTCCATAGTGATATTATGTAACTAATTCAGTTAATGGAAATATTGATTTTATTGACTTTGACATTAAAAGAACATGTTAAACAATTAAAAAATATATAGCTTGTTCAATGTTGTTTGCTTGCTGGTTTTTGGAGTACTATTTTAAAAGCAACTAGCATTTAATTGAAGTAATAAATCTCAGAAATTTGAATCATGTAATGCAAACACATAATGATTAAAATAATTAACATTTAATGCATTAATTAAGAATGGTGGTGATTTTTGCATGTTATCAGCTACATGTTAAGGCTGATGATGTGAAAGGGCAGTTTGAAAATGTGATAACTATAACCAAAGCATTGATTATAAGAAGCAAAATTTTATTTTAACATGTATATTTTGGGAGTTCTAATTCTAATAACATCAGATGGCTGATAACAACATCCCTGATTATAATGAGCAGATTCTACTATATTTTTGTTTGAAAAATAGCATAGGATAGAAATGACAATCACTGAGTACTCGTTATAAATGCAAATACTACACTAACAGTAACTAAAAACCAGCAAAAGAAAGTGTTTGCTGGATTATTGTGAATTGTTTTGCTTGGTTTTGGTTACTAATAATGAAGTACAGTAGAGTCTCGAAAACTCGGCCTAATGTGGACTGAAGGGTGGCTGAGTTTGTGAAAATGCCGGGTTATCAGGAATGGGGTTAAAAAAAATAAGTATGAGTGTTTCCTCAGAAAATACTGTACTGTACTTGTATGTATTGTTTACTTGAGAATACAACAGGGAATAAACTGTCCAAATACCCTTAAACAAAGGAAAAGTACGTCCTTTATGAAGGCATAGAGCCTTTACTACATGAAAATGAAAATTAATGAATACACTGTGTACAGTAATTTACCTGATAAGACAGACCTCAGAAAAATACTTTGAGGCATAAAGCTGTCTATAATGAAAATTAATTAACTAAAGATTTTTTTTGCTCTGCCAGAGTGTGGCCGAGTTAACCGGACTGCCAGGTTATCGAGTGCTGAGTTTTCAAGACTCTACTGTATTAACATAGGATAGTTTTAGTAACATTTTCATTCACTATTTTTGATGGGACAATAATGCAAATGTGAAATAATACATATGCTAAAAACTAAAACAATTATTTAAAATACTTTATTTAATATATAATTTAATGAAAATAAATTATTTACAAAAAATTGTCTAATTTCACTTTTTTATTAATTATTTGACACTTCAAAATTTAAGAAAAGTTAGTTTCAAGTAAATCTAACAAAAAGTAAACATTATTGAATCAATGAAATATGAAATAATCCTAAATTTTTGATTAAATACATGTTTATTATTTATTATTAGACCCTCCATCCTTTACAAACAACCCAGATGATTTATGGACACAAACAAAAAGTTGGATTTTAACTGGAGTACAACAATGCACCACACAACATTGGGCACAGAAAAAGAAATATTGGATGACAAATAGTACCCTTAAATTAATAGATGAAAGGAAAAAATTATTAACTTCAGCAATTGATCATTGCAGATGAAAAGAAGAAAGAGCTAGACAGAAAAATCAAAAAGTCTTATAAGAAAGACAAAAATGATTATCGACAGTATATGCAATGAAATTGAAGTTCATGCAAATAATAATCAGACTCGTGAACTATATGATAAAGTTAGATATCTAGCAAGAGAGTTGAAACCACACATGTAAATAAATAAAAATGATGAAAATGAAATCATAACTGATGTGGAAGGGATTGCGGATGTCTGGAGGAAGTATTGTGAGAAATTTTATAAAGATATTGGAGAAACAAATAGTGATAATCAACTTCAGAATGGATGGACAGAGAAAGTTGAACCATCTCTTCTTAAATCAGAGATAGATAAAGCTATAAATGCATTAAGAAATCACAAAGCTCCAGGATCTGACAACATAATCTCCGAAATTTTAAAAGCAGTGAGAGAACTGGGTGTTGACATATTTCATAAAATCTGCTCATTAATTTGGAAATCAGATGGCCAGAGGAATGGTGTAAATCAATATTTATAAAAAAAGCTGCACCAACAGACTGTAGTAACTACAGAACTATCAGCATAATTAACCATGCCAGTAAAGTAATGCTCCAAATAATTAGTAATCATTTGAATTCCTTCCTATTACCTGAAATAGTTGAAGAACAGTCAGGGTTTATCCCTGGTAAAGGAACTCATGAACAAATCTTGAATGCTCGACAGATCATTGAAAAAGCCTATGAATTTAATGTCAAAGCTTACCTTTGTTTTGTAGACTATATTAAAGCCTTTGATTGTGTAAAATAGCACAAATTATGGCCTGCTCTCTAGAACATGGGAGTCCCATGCCATCTTAATTCAACGATCAGAAATTTATATGAGAATAACTCTGCAAGAGTAAGGGTTAACAAAACTATGTCTAATACATTTACATCTATAGCTGGTGTAAGACAGCTTCAAATGTAAATGTATTCTTTCTCCTTTACTCTTTAATGGTTATTCTGAAATAATCATGAGAAAGGTATTAGATAACTGGGATGGAGGCATTTCCTTCAGGGTCTGCAAAGTTAACAAACTGAGATACACTGATGATGCACTTATTATAGCATCCAATGAATCAGAACTTGAATATATTATGAAACGTCTTGAAACTGAAAGCAGGAAATATGGATTGCTGATTAATGGAAGTAAAACGAAAGTTATGATAATTGGTCATTCCTTGACACAGACTAAGGAAATTGCAGGCTATAAGGTGGTGAATGAATTTGTTTACCTTGGATCACTTCTTACGAATAAAGAAGGATGCGATAATGAAATTAAATGCAACCTCTAAACTATTTAGAATTTGGAAAGATTCTACAATCACTATTTTTAATAAACTAAAGGTCATAAGAATACTTATTTTTCCAATTGCCACTTATGCCTCAGAAACCTGGACCATGAATGCCACTTCTCAGAAGAAACTTGATTCCTTTGAAATATGGACATATAGAAGAATGCTGAGAATCTCTTGGACAGAGCACTGAACAATTTGCTCCATCCTAAATCAACCGAAAATCACAACACGCCTTACCACTAAAATATACCAATCCTACCTTTGCTTCTTGGGACATATTTCCAGATGCAAAAATGGATTTGAGAAACAAATCCTATAAGGGAAGATCAATGGCAAATGCTCTAGAGGCAGATGTCGGATTAGGTGGGTAGACCGAGTAATGATGATTACAGGACATACAATGTATGAAGCCATTCACATGGCACAACACTGGGAGCAGTGGAAAGATACAATTAAAGCCATCAATTCGTAATATCACCACACCCTTTAAAGGGCATAGGACTGAGAAGAGACATGTTTATTATACAGGTAGCTCTTGGTTTACGCCGCAGTTCCGTTCCTACAAAAGCCGGCGCAAATCGAATCGGCGTAAAACGAACCCGTATTTACAGTAAGGTATAGGGTTAGGTTCCACATAAGTGAAAAATACAGTAATACCCCGAACTTACGCGATAGGTGGGACTGAGCGATAACCGCATAAGTTGAATTTGCGTAAGTCGGGGTATAATTTTGCAATTTGTGTAAAATCCAAGTCGGATGTATGTAAGCTAATAAATGTTCTCATTAATCTTATCTCGTCATTTGATTCGTTCATGGTTACAAGAAATCACCACATAGAGTCTCTCGAGTCTCCGTAGATATAACAAACACAGAAATAAATAACACAAAATAAATTGTAGCTATATGTCGATTCCACGCGACACGTCCGAACATGTAATCTGAACAATAGTGTGGGGGAGTGAGTAATCAAGAGTTGCGTGGCACTCAAACAAAGACGAATCGACGAGATTTGAAAATCACGTAACTCCGGGATTGCGTAAGTCGAGGTATTACTGTACGCAAATAATTTTGTTTATTAATACAATATAATACAAAGTACAAATAAATTTAATTTTTAAAATGTATTTTATCATAAAATAAAGTAAAATGTTTTTATTTAAAAATTTTAGTTTCGAATTTCTTACATTTTTCGGAAAAAAGTATTCATCTTTAATTGTTTACATTTTTGATTTCTTTCATTAAGAATTTCGGAATATGGTCGAATATGATGCTCCTTTTTACATTTGCACTTCACTCCCAACATTGTCTAACTCACAAACTTCATCCGTCAAACTTTCCTTAGTTGAAAGGATATATTAACCCAACGTAGAGCTACAGACGAGCGAAGACACTGATTGGTCGACCACCGGTCGCCGTAGCGCATATATAAGGTCAGTTTGAGCGGGAAAATTCAAGGTGGCTAAGGAGAGATAAATATCGTCTGGCCAACGAGAAGTAGATTTGTCTCACTAACGATAATTTGTGATCGCCGGAAGTGCTATTGCGTCGTAAGGTGTTTTCCTGAATGAACTGATACGGGATACATTCATTGGCGCTATGGATTCGGACGCCATTTATTGGACTATTAAGTTTAATATCTTGACTCGTGGGTACCTAAACGTTTAGTATTTTAATATTAATTTAATGCAAATGTATACATACCCAATAATATTAAACAGAAAAAATAAATATATTTAATAAAAATCTTTGGTTTAACGAATGTACAATGTCGCGGCTCGGTAAATATGTCAACACTGAAATGAAAATCAGTCTAGCATAGGGAAAATCGGGGAATTACACCGCAAAATGGTGAATTGCGCAGCGGCGTTATTGTGAATCGGCGTAAATTGAACCAGCGTAAACCGAGGGCTACCTGTATGTGGTTTGTGAATAAGTCTGAAAACTATTATAAAAATTTTTTACAATTATTATTCTTCTCTCAATTTATCTGATTCTGTTTAATTGGAATCCATTACAAAATTGGTTGAAATCATTTGAGTTAAAATTATTTTATTATAAATGTCTTATCCAATCCAATGCACATCCTATTTTTTTTTTTTTATAATTTACAGTGAAAAGATGTCATGGATTCCAAAATATTAATACTTACACAGCAGTATATTCAAGTTATATATGAGGATTAATACCATTGTCAGATAACCATATAATTTTGTATTTCATAATATTAAAATATAATATTTCTTTAATAATCTTGGCTGTATTTATTTCTTTTCATTCATCCATTTTACAATCAAATGTCTGTTTTCAAATTTCCAGTCAAATTTTCTCAAATATGTTTTAAGTGTTTTCTCTGTTTTGAAAAATAGTTACATGAATAGTGTTAAAAGCAATTGTTTATAGAATTATGCAAAGTATTTATATCTTTAATGGATATATTAGCTGGCATGTACTGTACAATGTTATAAGTATGTAAAGCAATATTACTAAAAGAATTAGTAAATATATAATGTACTATTTTTATCAAAAATGCTGGACATAGACACCTTACATGAGTATGATGTGATATTTCTTCTTGTTGCTAACATTCTTGATTTTTATTGTCACATTGAATTCAATTTATATTTAACATATTTTTATGGCATTTTCTGAGTGTCTAAAACAGAAAGGAAGTATTGTTAAAATTGTTGCTAAATAAAAAATATCATAGTAAATAATCAAAATGTTGACTAAGTTCTAAAACTAAAATATTGGAGAAAATGACAAATAGCCATGACTAGAAAATTGATAATGAAGTATTAATTTTAAAAACTTGAATTATTCTAAATAACTTTTTAGTATTAAGATGAACATAATGTTTTGATAAATTTATGTAATCTTCTGAAATAGTTAAATGAATATTTGAATTTAATTTGAAAATTTGTTAGAACTGCTTGATTATCCAATCAGTTTGAACCGTCTGAGGTGAATAACTGAACACACAAACCAAATAAAGTGTTGTATACGGTTGCTTTTTACAAGTAATATATCAACAAATTGACTTTATATTTAATTTGAATTAAATATTAAATTAAATAATTATAATCATCATAAATGAATTTTCAAAATTCATTTATGATGATTATAACTTCCATCTATCTTTATCCAATTATTTTGTTTTGATTTGGGTTTGTAGTTTTCTCTTAACAGTTCTATCAGAAAAAAGCATTATTTTATATTACTTTGCTTTTATTGATTGATAAATTGAAAATTTGAAACCAAAAATATTTATTTTGAAATATACAATTGCTTTAAACTGTTTGTTCTCATATATTTTCATGCTTTCATGGCTAGCATTGTTATGTTTAAAACAGATAAAAGATTCTACAAATTTAAAATACAGAAAAACTGTTATAAATAAATATAAACACACATATTCACATTTAAAAAAAAATATTTTATGACAATTTTAATTAATAACACAANATAGGTCACGTGATTGAAAGCTTTTATGGCAAGGGGTTTTACACCCGTTTTTACAGTAGTGGAGTCTCGGCTTTACCTGGGAAACAAAGACTACAGAACAGACTCATATTGTTGAGATTACATATTACAAAAATTCACATTTAAAAAAAAATATTTTATGACAATTTTAATTAATAACACAATGACACAATTGATATTTTGAAATTTACATTATCAGCTTATAATGATGATTACATCTTATTATAGAAAGAAGATAAAATGCAGAAAAATTTCTATTTAACAAAAATCTTTTATATTAATAAGACGAGATTACTACCTCCATACAACAACAAATATAGTTCTACTAAAATATAAAAATAACAACAAACAGGTGCATATAGAACAAAACAATACATAAATATCACAAGGATAAAATCAACACATTAAAAAATATATATAAGCAAGCATGAAAAACATAGGTAAAATGTAATAAGGGATTAATAAGAACAGTATAAAAAAAATACATTAAAAGAAATATTGAGTGTCATGTGTCTTAATATATGACAGTGAGTAATGATCTTTTACACATGTATGTAAATAATTGTAAATAAAAATTGCTATAAATGTAATCAAATATATAATTATTTGTTTAAAATCTTTCAGGTGTTGCAGGTCAATATGATTTTGGTCCAATGGGTTGTGCTATGAAAAGCAATATGTTAAATCTTTGGAGAAACCATTTTGTTTTAGAAGAACAAATGCTGGAAGTTGATTGCAGTATTCTGACACCTGAACCTGTTCTCAAGTAAGGTTTCACTAATTAATTACCAAACATTTAGTAATAATTATTGAATTATAATTAAGCTATTTAATTAATTAAATTTAAAAAGTTTCATTGATAACAAAAAAAATTAAATTTAATTCAACATTTATTTCAGTAGATTTTTTTCAGCATATAACTTGTAATTTTTAAATAATGTGAGAAATTGTTTCTTACGTTATCTCACATTTTCATTATTTCTTATATATTTTAAAATTATATGAGACAAGAAGTATTTCGTTAATATAATGTTATTAAATAATAACTTTCAACTATTGTGCAAATATAAAAAAGAAATAATGATGAAATGTTTAAATACAGTATCAGGTGTTTTGTGCTATAACTTAGTTAAATTAAAGTTAAGTAATGGAAGTCTAAATTAGATGAAGTTATTTAGTTACATTAATTAAAGTTTAACCAAATTTTATCCTGGTATTTAGACATTTGGTTATTAAAAATTTAGCTCAGTTATTATATTATCACAGCATAATTAGTATCAGACAGCTTTCTCAAAAGTAGTAACAAAGTATATTTAATGAATTAAAGAAACAAATAAACATGACATTAGCTAAACATTTTAAATACAAAACACACAGAGATTGCTCTCTGCAAATTCCTGGATGGGAATTATTCTAAGAGTGCTTTCTCCATTTGAACAGTTTTTAAACAATCTGCATCCTCTCATTGGATAAGGGTCCACCAGTAGCTGATTGGATAAATCACTGAACACTGATAGTTGTTCATGGGTTTGTGTCTTGCAAATGGGCTGGCCATGTTGAATTTTCTGGGTTTTCTTTGTGTTATTAACACCTAAACATGGGCCAATTTCCCATAAAGGACCATCCTGGGAGGAATTTTCCTTTCAGCAGATCGTCTGTGTCGTGTTTTCATAACCAAATAAACTAAACCTCTCATTGGATAAGGTCTGGATAATAAAAATCTGCTTTATGGCAATATATAAGCAAATTTAATTTTATAATAACAAATTATTTTATATCTAACTGACTGACATAGTTCTGTTACATTTAAATTTTGACAAATGTGGTAGAAAGGCCATCAGATGTACAATACATGTTATATTCAAGTTCTGAGCTATTGATATTGAAACTTATTAATTTCTTTACTAGTTTTTCAAAGAAAACTTGAAGTGTGTGTGTATATATATATATACACACACTANACATTTAAATTTTGACAAATGTGGTAGAAAGGCCATCAGATGTACAATACATGTTATATTCAAGTTCTGAGCTATTGATATTGAAACTTATTAATTTCTTTACTAGTTTTTCAAAGAAAACTTGAAGTGTGTGTGTATATATATATATATATAATAAATTTTATAGATTAGTCAGTTATACACTTTGACCCAAAAACATGAATTCATAATTGACTAATCTATAAAATTTATTTTTAAGGTTCTAGAAGAAACTGTGACATTGGAAGCTGGTATAAGTTATTTGATCTTTTATTTATTCATACAAAGAAAATTAATGACATAACATCTAGGAAATCTACCTATAAAAATGAATTCAGTTATAAACATTGAACAATTTTGTTCTAGAATTGTCATGGTCCTATGGAAATATGATGCTCCATTATATTGAATCAAGAACTGCTGCTGAAAAAAATCTTTAATTTATCTGCTGCAGTGACAGAGCTATAAGATCAGATTTCTTAAGTTTACATTGATGATTTTAACAATTGATAAAAACTACATGATATGATACAGATTACATATTGAATATCCTTAGATAAATTTGAGTTTTCTTTTGTTTTCAAGTTGCTTCATGTTTTTTGTATCTAATTTTTTTAAAAATAAAGTTGTTACTCTTTCAAATATTTTCAATATTCTTGTGCATTTTACTTAAGTATATTTTTACTTAATAATTTTTACAATAAAATCTAATAACAAAGCCAGAACTGATAACTTATAAATTAATACCATTCACACTTTTCCAGCAAAGGGTTTATTCAGCAACTGAATGAACAGATGCTTTCAGTTTATTTTAAAAACCTTCCCACGTTTAGCTATGAAATAACTAACTGAACCTGGGACAGATTTATAAAATAGACTGAATGTTTGTTCATTTATTTACTGAATAAACCATTTGCTGTAAAAGTAGGAATGGTATTGATTTATAAATTTTCACAATAATCAGTATTGTAAGAAAACTTTATTAAATTAGAAAATACTAATATTTTAATATAATTTGCTTTTTGATGCCATGACATTTATGAAGTAATTTTAAGTACAAAATTGTAATTCTGTTTCTGTAAAAGAATTTTTATTCAATAATTTATAAAATTAATTATATAACTATTTTTTGAATTTAAAGAACAGTAATTTATATACTACAAATTGTTTTATTTTTTTATTTATTTTAATACAGGAATTATTCTTTATTGGAAAATATTTTATTTACAGGGCTTCTGGACATGTAGATAGATTTGCTGATTTAATGGTTAAAGATTTAAAGAATGGTGAATGTTTTAGATTAGATCATTTAATTAAAGGTATGATTTTTGTCATATAATACTAATTTAATTATTTAGAACAGGGGTGTCCAGCCCGCGGGCCGCATGCGGCCCAAGGCAAGTTCCAATGCGGCCCAATAAACGTATAAACAAAACCGACAAATGTTTTAATTTTTTTATTATTTATTTATTCCAACGGTATAAACTCAAAAATGAAATTTTACAAAGTCGTAAACCTTTATTCACATTTTATTTTTGAGTGAAAAAGAAATATTTTCAAATATTTGGAGATGTGTGAATGAGAAAGGATTACTAAATAAAGCTGGAGTTGTGACTCAAAGAATTATAGACCCAAATTTGGGAAAAGGAGGGAAAGGTGAGAAAGGACAAAAGATAAAAAGTGAGAAAGGTTAAATAGATCTTCTGTTATGCAAATATTGACCCTTAATTTTCCAACCTTTCTCACTTTATCTTTTCTCCTTTCTCTCCTTTCCCCGCATTTGGGTCTATAATATTTTGAGTCACAACTCCAGCTTTATTTAGTATTTCTTCCAACGTTGCAAGATTTGGCTACATTGCGCCAAATGTGACTACTTTTTTTGTTTGACGTAGAAATTATCATTTGGGCATTGGCTACTTCTTGGGCTATATATTATTTATAAATATGTTAGTTGAATAAAAATGCACTTTAAAATGGTGTTTTGTCGCTTTTTATTAATTAGAGACTCAAATATAACAAATATTTGTGTTTTTCAAATAAATTTCCATTTGTCTCTTTTATAATAAATGAATTTATCTATTTCTAAGTATAAATTGAAAGTATCTGTAGAAGTAATTTTTTAAAATATCCTTTTTTGTGATAAAGATTTAATACTTATTATTATAATCTAGATGTGTTAATCCTTAAATATACTTGTATATTGGGCCACAAGTATATATTATACATACTTGTGGCTCAAAACTCCTTGACTTCTTCCAATGCGGCCCAGAGAAACAAAAAGGTTGGACACCCCTGATTTAGAATTTTAAGTTATCATATAAAATGGTTTTAAATTGAAATTTTTAGAATTTAATCTCTGGTAAATCCATACTTACAAAATCATTTTACATTCAAATTATGTATATATTACATATTATGTAGGACAAATGTCCTACATAATATATTTGATATAATCATTTATTTGCTAAATGATCACTGTTTGTTTAGTAATAAAGAAAATAAAATAATATAAAATTATTACATTAAATGCTTTGAATATGCACTTTTATCATTAGATATAAAGAAAATTTAAGTTTTATGTAATGATCTTGTTGTATAAACATCATTTCAGCTCATCTAGAAAAGTTAATGTCGGATAAAAAAATATCACCAGAAAAAAAATCTGAATGTGAAGATATTGTTGTAAAGGTATGATGTAAGTTTTTATTTAGAATCTATAAGAATCATTTAATTAAAATTTTGTTTTTATTTAGCATTTGTAATATAATAATACAAGTAATAAATAATAAAATATAAAATAATCACAAAAACACTAACAATAATTAATTATATGCTGGAAAATGTTCTAGAATCTATGTTTACGTTAACGTAGATAGAGCAGTTTTAATGCTCTTAATCGGTGCATATTACAGAGAGAGAACATTTTTTACTTGTTCTGTGCAACAAATTCCAAGATTTTCACATGGTGGTTGGCATTTTTTGACTGATTACCATACTTTCCCTCTGTTATAAATAACAGAGCCAGGAAAGTAAAAATTTATTAATCTTTTTAAAAATTTAATGTAAAAAATATATAAATTTTAACATTTTAATCATAATCACTAAAAATGTAGTATTTGTATTTAAAAGTATACAGTATTTAAAAAAAATACTAGTTATTATGATTGATGTATATTAAAGGAAAAAATATATTTTATTTTATTCAAAGTTCTTAGTTTTTTGACATCTTTACATCTTCACATGAATTGTTTGAGAGTTGTCAGCAGACAGTGATTTGATAGAAATAATTTTTTATACATAACTCAAAAACTTAAATTAATCCATGATCATATGCAATTATAATGTAGTGATTTTTTTACTTATTTTTCATACATAATTACATTGCATATAATTGCCATATCTCAAATTTGATGATTTTTGAAAATCCTGTAATATGTTTTTTTTGCATGTGCCAAATTTCAATGCACATGCTGTTTAATTTTTAAGATATTGTTTTGTTTACAGATCAGTATGAGGAAGTTTTTGAAACTTTGCAGTAGTGTGTGCTAATGTGAAGAGAGTTAAGCTGGAAATAAATGATAGCAGGCTGAGATATTTCTCAGAAGGACCAGAAAATGATTTATATATTTTTTTGAGCACATAATAAAGTTGCAAAAACATTTAAATTGTTGATTGTCATAATGCCTGAGGCTCTTACAGACTCCCAGACTTTCTTGGTATTCGAGGCCACAAATTTTGTCACACACAGTTGAACATCAACTTGCCATGTCTACTCTTGTGCCTGTTGTGAGAGACCTCCATGACATCATTTTTGATGATGTCAGGTTAACAAAAATAATGTTGGATGAAAAATCACACATTATGCATGTGATCATATGACAATGAAGAAAAATTATAATGATCACACTTGTAATGTAGCATTACACATATGTGATCATGCTGTCTTACATATGTTATTGCCTTTTCATCTGAGTTTTTCTTTAATATTTGTTATTGTCAGCCTTTAGAAATTTCATCATCTTTCTTTAAAGAGTTAAAATTTTTTGAGCTGTAAAATGGATCTTAAAGTTGAAGAGCTTTTGGTTTTGATCTCCCATATAAGTGTGACTGAAGGGTCGGCACCTCCTCAATGCCTTGTCAGGATGACACCATCACGTCTCGGTGGACATGGAAATCTAACTAGTTCACACGAGCGGTCACGTAACGGAGCGATCAAATTCTGGATGGAGGGAGTGAGAGATAGCGCACCGGAAGTGAGTCTTTCATAGACTAGATTAACATAACAACCGTTTAATGGAAAACGCTAGGACATACATATCTTACAATATGTCGATAGATTCGATAGTAAGGTTTAAATGACCGTTCTTGAGAAAGAGAGCTTACAATAGTTCGCATGGCGATAAATACCTGGAGTTTGGTTGATTCTTGGATTGCTGATAATTGATAATCAAGTTCTTGACTTAATCCCAAGTTTTGGTGATGACGTTTATTCAAGTTCCTTTGGCACTTAATAAATCCTGTTGCAATTAATTCCAATAGGAGGCACTTAATAAGTTCTGTTGCAATTTATCCAAATAGGAGGCACGAAAAAAGTTTGGTTGCGATCTGACAACTTCTATCCAGAGGAACGGCAGCGACTGTGTCAAAAATCTGTTTGTAGCTATATTCATTTGACAACTTTGCAATAATAGGTCAGAAGGTTATGTGAAAGCGTCTTTTTGCGACTGAGAACTTGCTGAGTGATTAACTCCCAGGTGTGAAATTTGATACTTACTTGATAAAATAATAATGTTAACGATTTAGGTCAGGCTGTAGGTTAATAAACACGGCTGAGTCTCACATAAGCAACCAACAATCTCCTGTTGTTTTTCTTTGAAATAAAGTTGCTTCTTATTTTATTGTACTTGTCAGAATACAAACCAGATGAGCAATATATCACTGGTACAATATAACTGATATTTATCCAGAAGCAAAACATATACATACTGTTAGTAAACATATGTAATTCTAAGTTTACTAATGGTATGTTAATGTTTATCTTGTATTAATACCAAAAGACTTACTAAGACAACTTATCTTTATTGCAATATAAAGTGTATTCTCATTTCCTTTAGTACATCAACTGCTATTTGTTTTTAGTACTATTTTTCCAGATACATGCCATTCTCATGTTTAAGTTTTTTTAACTTTAACTTTGCAAATTTATAGTCCATTTTGAATAGTTAGAATAAAATTTAAAAAACATTAATGTTCCTAAATTGTTACTTTCTTCACTTGAAGAAGATGTTGATAAAATGTTGAAAGTGCTTGCAAGTATATATACAGTGCAAGTAAGTATACAGTGCTTGTTATAGTAAAGATAACCACTGCCTCTCAGCATTAACTTATCTCATCCTTTAATTGGATATTTTGATATGATGAACCTTATTATTCTTTTAGATCAGTAATTGGAATAAGGTATTTCTTTGCCAATAGATATTCAACAGCAACTGATTTTTAAATTTATTGGCTAAAGTGATATTATATTTGGTGACAAAGAAAAACATGATATATCCAAATGAACAATATAACAAGGGGCTAATTTATTTAGATGACTATGGTTGTTATAGAAAAAGATAAAATTGCAGTATGTAATTTATAAAAGATAAACTTAGATCTTTCTATTAATAATACTATTCTGTCATTTGGAACTTTTGTTTAATGGAATTTTGTATTTTTATTCCAGTTAGATGGTATGACAAAGGAAGAAATGAATGCCATATTACGTAAATTCAATATAAGGTCACCAATAACAGATAATGAATTGTCTGATCCTGTTGAATTTAGCCTTATGTTTAACACAACAATTGGACCTTCAGGATTGATTAAAGGGTAAGTAAATATATTATGATTAATCATTTGTTTCTATAGTGAAAAACAACTTTATTTCTTTATAAAGTAAATTTTAATAAAAGCAAAGATTTACATCAAGTTATGTCTTTTGTTTTAAAACATATTTATTAAGAATTATTCATGTAAAATAAAATATTAATATTTATCTTCACTGATTTTCTTATGATTATATAAAATTCTAAAAATCTTTAATAAATTTAATTTTTAGTTATGCTGTTATCAATTATATAATATTAATTGATAATTATTTACTTTTAATAAATAAAAGGAAATAAACAAAAATTAAATATCTAATAAATGTACTTGAAATTTTAAAGAGATGATGTAAATTGAATCGTAAATGGTTAAGATGTAATCAGAAAAATTGAAGGATATACCTGTTTTATCAGTCACACTGACTAATGTGAAGCAATCAATCAGTTAATAAAATATATATAAAGTTTGTATTTTATTTTATAAAATTGTGCTAGAGAATAACAATGTATTGCTAATAAAACTTTCACTTTGTATTGACCTTATCTAATTTTCATAATTACTGGGACAATTGTTGGGGAGGAAAAACAGATTATTAAATCAAGTATTTGTAGTATCAGACTAAATTAGAAATTTAGAAAATTTTTAGATAAATATATTGCTGAACAGATATACTTTTAAGACTTTTACCTGCTAATTACATGTTTATAAGAAATAAAATACAGGGTAATTATAATTAAAGTTGTCCTATTTAGAGGATTCTGTAGCTTCAACCAATAAACCTATTGACACCAAAATTTGTATACCCACTGTTCAAGGATGCAGAAAAGAATTTTGCAAAGAAAAATTTTAGTTCCAAAATTGTCTATTATGGAATAAATGTCACTGCAAACTAAGAAATATGATATGCTTAGCCACATAGAATGCACCCAAGACTGGCTATAAAAATGCTATAGTTAAATGCTTTTCAGCTATAGTTATAATGGCCATCATTTTTCTGGAGAGTGCATTAATTGCGAAGTTTTTTTATGAAAATCAGGGTAATAATGTAGCTGCTGTTCACAAATATTGCTTTCATCAGAATTTATGCTGTGGACCAATGTCTTCACAGGCTGTCAGGAAAATAATGATGTGATTTGAGACAACTGAATCCTTAGGAGTTCAGCTTGGCAGGGAGGCAAAAGTTTATCACTGCAGAAACAAATTTTGGTGTCAATTGGAGCTATAGAGTCCTCTGAATAAGATAAGTTTAATTAGGATTCCCGGCGCAACTATATTGATTTTATATAGTATATATAATTTTATTTTTATTTTTCCTTTCTTCTTTTGCAAAGTTACAATCATTATTAATTAAGAATTACTTAAATTTATATGCTTTTATTCTTATAATTCTTTTGTTCTTTGGAATAGAAGATGACATAAATATTAATCTTATATTAAAATGTTTTTATTATAGTTTTCTTCGCCCAGAAACTGCTCAGGGTATATTTGTTAATTTCAAGCGTTTATTAAATTTTAATCAAGGGAAATTACCTTTTGCTGCAGCACAAATTGGTAATTCTTTCCGTAATGAGATATCTCCACGTTCTGGTTTGATACGAGTTAGGTAAGAAATCTGTGCTTATTTGTAAATTACTTATTTATAAATCTTAAATTAAAAAAAATTATATATGTATATTTTAGAGAATTCACTATGGCAGAAATTGAACATTTTGTTGATCCAGACCAGAAACAACATCCAAAGTTTAATTTTGTAAAAAATCTGGAACTTACACTTTATTCTGCTTGTAATCAAATGGATGGAAAGCCTGCAGAAATGAAAACAGTTGGTGATGCAGTTAGTCAGGTAATAATTCTTGTTTCCTATACAATTCCTTGTTGTAATTATAGATGTCATTACTTAATTATGACTTCTATGTCAAAAACAGAAAATTTTGTATGTTATTAAAATTAAATAACTGCAGAAAAAATAAAAAAAATTAAATATAAAACCTTAAACATGAGTAAAAGCATAATACAGATACTAAGAAAATACAGTCAAATGTTTATATTATGAATTTCTATATAGCAAATTTCTCTATATAACAGATTTTTGCATTTGTACACTGCTTTTTCAGCCAAAAATATATGTAAAATTGCTTCTAAATAACGATGTTAAATTTCTGTATATGTTTTTTTAATTTGTAAGAACCATCGATCATTAAAAGTTGATTACTCCCTTTGAGTAAAGTTTGAATTTAGGTTCAATTTCAGGTATCAATGTGCAAACCCTTTGTATAATCATGGTCGAGGTGTGAGAAATACTGGTTGTTAGCTTTTAAAGCCATTGTGTAATCTGCCTCCTGCTGGTTACCAGTTGTAAAGAAGGGAGAGAGAGATTAGGTCCAAGTGCCATCATTGACATAAATGATTTATAATTAATGTCAAAAACATTATAAAGGTGATAATTTTGACAACTGCTGGACTAATGTTTGGGGTTAATGAGATTTTATTTTATTTAATAAGTCATCCAATTAGAATTTGAAGAACTGTTAATATAGTGTTTAAGTATTACTGAAAAAATTAATGTGGGAAATTGATAAAGGCTTAAAAAAGAAAAACATTATAGCAAAGTTTGGAATTCTTGTGAGTAGTTTATCAACCATAATAACAACTCACAAATCAGTTTTGAAATTAGCTGATGGTGTGAGACCTACAGGAAAATGTGCTAGAACCTATGTTTACATTGATGTAGATAGAGTAGTTTTAATGCTTTTAATAAGTGTGAAACATATTACAAAGATAGAACATTTTTTAATTGTTTTGTGCAACAAAATTTGTTAAAATAATATAATACTTTATTTACCAAAAAGTGTAATTTCTGTATAACAAAATTTCACTATAGCAAATTTTTTTTCGGGGTTTAGCAACTTTGTTATATAGAAGTTTCACTGTACAAATAAATAAATTTAAACATGCAGCTTTATATTTTACAATTACCATATATTCTGTGAAGTTCAAATATTACAGACTCACCATAATGTTGAATTAAACTTCTTGCAACCAGTATTATTTGATAAATGGATAGCCAATGCTGTTAAGGTATCAGTCTACTGCTCTGAGGGACCTGAGATTGAATCCAGGCAGTCAAAAATCCCATGACTTCTTTCAGGATTGGCCTATCATGGATATGTTGTGCTTTTTTTTTCCACATAGTTGCCTTATTGTGGGTTTGGCCAAACCTCATAATAAGAATGATTTTAAGGCCTTTTTAAATGCATTAGAGAAATAAATAATAATAATTTTATTTTAATGAAAAATAACTGATAATATGTAAAGTATCAATATTGAAAACATAATAATAGTATACAACAAGTTTTAAATAATTTATAAATTAATATTAATTTAACCAGATCCAGTATTATCCCTAACATCCAGTAGTATTATTCAGACAGATTAATAGTTTCAAGGTAACAATTGCATGAATTCTGATTGCATATTTTATTAGGGTCTCCATAAATTGATAAGATTTTATAAACTATTTTTTTTTACAATAATTTACTATTATTGGATTCAAAGACTTTCTGAATTTTAACCATATATTTCTAAAAGTAAAATATAATAAAAAAAATCAGTTTTTTATTTTAATGTTTTTAATAAGAATTTTCTCAAAGGTGATGGATGTTCTACTGATATATCTATATGGTAGAATTCTAATATTCTTCTTAAAAATATTTCAAATTGTGCTCATTTATCTATTATATGAACTTGAAAGCTTAAACAAATAAAGGAGATATAAAAATACAAATGTTTGTGTTTGGTAATTGGACATGATGGAAGTTTTGAAGATGTTTTAGTTTCTTCTATATTTTTATATTGTGAAATATACCATCTGCTTTTTTAATTCAAATAATATACAATTTATTCTTATATTTATTTGCTTGAATCACACAGTCTGCTTTTTATATATGTTGAGTATATGTAGAAAAATGTTTTAATTTTATGTGATATGTAAAATTAACAAAGTAATGATTACTTTATATTAATGATTTCAGAAAATTATTGCCAATGAAACTCTTGGATATTTTATGGCAAGAATACATTTATTTCTTGTTAAAATTGGAATAGATCCCAAAAGGTTAAGATTTCGTCAGCATATGAGTAACGAAATGGCTCATTATGCGTGTGATTGTTGGGATGCTGAATGCAAAACATCTTATGTAAGTTTGAAGCATTTCATTGTAAATAATAATATAGTCTATAATATTTATTAAATTTTTATGGCTAAAGTAGTTATCATTTGTTTTATATTAGGGATGGGTGGAATGTGTTGGCTGTGCTGATAGATCCTGTTATGATTTATCTCAGCATTCAAAAGCTACTGGTGTGAAATTAGTAGCAGAGAAGAAACTTCCAGAACCTATATCCTTTTAATAGAATTACATTGAAAATATTAAAACCTAAATATTTAAATTATCCATATACAGTTATGATCAATGCTACATTTTTACTGCTATTTTTCATAATAAAACTTTATTATTATTATTATTTCAAAAATTTTTATAAATATATTGATAATTTAATGTAATTATTACTAATTATTTTTGTAAATAGTATAATGTTTAATCAATGAAAATTAATTATAAATAGAAGTGGTCAAGAATTTTTTATAATTCAATATATACAAAACTAGCTGAAGTACCAGGCTTTGCTGAAGAAAATGATACCTTAAATAAATATAATATGTTCATATAAAGACACACACACACACACCCAAAAATGTTTATATGGATAAAGAATATGTACTTATAATAGATCTGATCAAAAAAATTTACATTGAAATTTACTCTAAATACATTTCATAGTCTGAGAAAAATTTAGCTGTTTTCGCTTAATACTCAAGCAGATAGAGACACATATATGAATTCAAAGTGTACTATATTTTTCCCAGGGCTATCCTGAATGTATGTATGAAGTTTCATAGAAATCTGTTCAGATGTTCTCACATGATACTTGGACATAGACAAAGACAGATGTGAAATCAATTTTATACATTTAGATAAAAATATGGTTTGAACTATGTTGAATTATATTTGTGTTTTCAAATGGAAATTAAATCATCTTTTAACAAAATAATCATTAAATTTTGGCTGTAGAATTTGAATGTTAAATTGCATAAAATTATTGTCAGAAAAAAGTCGACATTGTATTTTTTAGTTACTACAATAAATTTTTCAAATACTTTTCTTATCTTTTTCTGTTTTATAACAATATTTATAAATAAGTAATAAAATGAGCATTTGAACATATTGAATAACTGTAATGTGAAATTGATTTTTAAAAACATCTCTTAAACATCTTGTACCAGCATGTCAATTAATGAAATGAGGTCTAATCTAATCCACTCTTTAGATCATTTTCTGGGCCACCTAAATTTCATTTTTTAAGCAATCAAATTACTATTGTTATCAATGCCAAAGATTATGGCTTAGATTATTGTGAGGTAGATCTAAACTCATGCTGATATTTAGTTCTCATTTTTGTANTGAAAGTTATTGTAAAATGAAACTGATATATTATTTGAAAATGGGCACAATTATTTTTTAATATGAAAATAATTAAGTATTTGTTGCAAAAGAAATAACAGTAACTACGTAGTACATTAATATTAGTTGTATAATCAATAGTAATATTTAATTAGCATTAAGGTTTGAAGATTGTGGATTGATTCAATTAAATTCTCTAGTCATTAAATTAATTTTTAAACTCAGTTGTATACTTGTGCATTTATTATTATTTGAATAATAAATGCACTTTAAATAAATAATAATGCCTTTTACATAAATGCAAAAAAAGTTTTAAATGTTTATTCACTTTATGTCAATTAATGAAATGAGGTCTAATCTAATCCACTCTTTAGATCATTTTCTGGGCCACCTAAATTTCATTTTTTAAGCAATCAAATTACTATTGTTATCAATGCCAAAGATTATGGCTTAGATTATTGTGAGGTAGATCTAAACTCATGCTGATATTTAGTTCTCATTTTTGTAATTGGTTCAATAATAAATTGAGAAAATTCTTTAAGCTATTGTTTATTATCAGAAAAATAATCTTGTAATAAACTAGTTTTCTTTGTTTTTGAATTTTAAACAAATTTAATAGCCTTTTCTCGTAAATAAATGTAGAAAACACTTCTTTTTTTTTTAATTACTACTATTGTTAATCTATAATAAAATTTTTCATAAATATGATTCTTAATATTTTTATAAAATTTAATAAAATTTTTATTAAAAAATAAACTTTGTTTAAAATAAGAAAAATTATGATATATATTTTCTATAATTTGTTATTCATTGTTAATTTTCTGATCAGTTAAAATAATAACAAATAAAAAACAATCTCAATACAGTTTTAATAATAATAATTTCAATATTGGTTTTAATTAAATTTGGACTTGAGAGTTGTTACACTAACTACATTCTGCTTTAATGGACTATTATTACAAAAAATATATTACCTAGATTCTAATACTTTAAAGCACTTCTAGATAAACTTTAGGAATCTGCATTCACAATAGAATCTCCTGTTTCAATGCAAGTTCATACTATACTTTGAATGTTCAAATAGTGCTGTTAGAATCTTTTGGAAAACTATTCTGTCATTTATTTGAACTTTTATCGTGAACTGATGATGAAGCAAAATGTCTTGAAAAACATTTAATTGTAATTAAAATACAAAAGGTCTCCTTAATTGTATAGTATTAGTATATATTATGAATAGAATCTTATAATTAAATTTTCAAACATTAACTGCTCAAACTGTTAAAACAAATTTTCAAAGCATTAAAAATACAGTGGTTGATCGGTTAATAACATAATCTGTTCCAAGACTTTGTTCGTTATCGGAATTAACCAATTATCAATGTACCATAGGTTTTTATGGGAATTTGATTAATTTGTTCCAGAGATGCCAAAAAATAAAAAATATATTTTTTTTACTACGTTTATTTATATGTAATAGTAAAAATACATATCAATATATATGCAGTCTTGCATTTTTATTAGTCATGTTTTTTCCATTTATGTGATTAAAAAATATGTCCAATGTTGATTGCTTTTCTCTTTTCTTCTGGATTTTTTGGAAGTAATTAATAGTATTATAACTGTAGAGATCCCCAACCCCATTAACCTTATTCTGGTTTGGATGCCACTTGAATGATTGTTGTTCTGACATCCTCCCACTTCTTCAAATGATCTTTAGTAGCAGATGTTGACATTGGTCCTCTTTTGTCTTTCTCTTTTTCAAAAGAAAACACATCTCTCTGAATTTCTTGGTATTCTTCATTTGAGAGTTCTTAAGTTCTTCTGTTGTCAGATCAGTTTAGGTTCCACTATGAGCTCTAAAATGCTCTTTATTTCTCAGATGTGATTTTCATTACTCTATTGACAGCCTGAGACTTCTTGATATATCTTTCATAGCTAAGATTGTGCCTACTATAGACCTGTTCAAGCCATACGCCTAACAACATCAGACATCTTGTGCCCACTTTCTACCTTGGCTATTATCTCTTACTTGGTTTCTACTGTGAGCACAGTTCTTGACACTCCTCTTTTTAGGTTCCATAATATTATTGGTTTCTTTTTTAAATAAAAAGTTCAGAAAAGCATTTACAAAAATTCAGAGAACAGAAATCAACTTGCCCACAAAAAATTATTTAAATGCAAGGTTCGGATGAAATTCAAAATTTTGTATTAAAACGTTAACAAATATCTGATAGGACAGTTAAACTTTCACCTCTTGTAAATAAACCCCAACACAAAACTTAACAAGTGCCTGTCCAACAGTCTTGCGAAGACTATAAAAAATTATTTGTCAGAAAGGTAAACAAAAAGCTAGAATTACAAGGGAGAGTTTCAAAATTCAGAGGAATACTATCTGATTGGTATCGGGTTGAGTGTTGATGTTGACGTTTCCCGGGCTCTGAAAGGTTTCTAATTGTTACCTGAAGACAAGGGAAAATCAAACGGTATTCATTATTTTCCGTCACTTCTTTTTATGTTTGTTCAGTAAAGTGTTCATTGTCCAATCATAAAAATCTTTCACGAAAATGTTCATTATCTGATTTCTTTGCTATCCAAACTGTTCGTTAACCGGTCACCCACTATATATTCCCAACAAGGGAATATATAATACTATAATAAAGCAACATGTAGTTATCATATAAAGAACTGGAGATTAACATTAATATCCTGGCTGTTGTTTTATTATAATTATGGAAAAAATTAATTATGAAATTATATAATTCTTTATCTCAAATCATGATTTATAATAATGCCTGATTAAAGTATATTTTAGTAAATGTTTGATGAAATTTAATTTATTAAAATATTTAAACTGCATGTAAGTTATATTTGATGAAATTCAATATTAATAATAAGAATAACTTGTTTAATTTTTACCTTGACAAATAAATAGAAAACAGTTGAAGTTGTTGAATGCCAACCACAAAAAAATGTTATAGGCAAAATTTTTAAAAGAGAAGCAAAAGACGTTATAGAAAAATTGACATCCCTCGACGAAGAAGCTATAGCAAAATTAAACAAAGAATTAGAAGGAAAAGGGTACATTGAATTAACATTCAATAATAAAGTTTTAAACAGTAAAATTTATATAAACATTTTTTATTTTAAATAGGAACTACACCTTAAATGTCGGAGATAAAGAATACACAATTACTCCAGATATGATTGCCATTAAAAGATTTCAGAAAAACATTCATGGTTGGTTCAGTATGCTACTTTTATAAGCAACATTGATTAAATTATTTTAAACATAAATAAATCATAAAAAATACATTACGTTAGCGGAATCTATTCACAATGTTCATTAGAAAGTAATCGAAAGTTTATATTAAATTATAAGCTATTAAGTTAAATATGATTGTTTAATTCTTTTACATGGAGATTATGTGCACTTTATTTACATTATAATTCAGAAATTTAGGGTATAATACGCAATGAAAAAATGGCACTTTCCCTAACATTAATAAGATCCAACACAATAATCCTTTCTTAAACAATTTACTCTTCAGGAAAGATTATAATGACATTAAAAGTCAACTTTATTTATCACCGGGTCATAATTTTATTAGTGTAAAAGTAAAGAATAATCCCATAGAAATATCCCATTAAGTGTTCATTTTTAAATTAAAAAATAATTCTAAAAAAATTATATATTAATAACATGAAATTATTCATTTTACATGAAGATGAAAAAATGTTTGTTTCGTCTAATTTTAAGATTTATGGATACAAATATATATATATGCTCTTAAATAAAGTTAATTTATAAAACATGAATCTTTTCACAATTAAGTTAATTTGCTCATTAAAGCGTTAATCCCTTCGTCTATGAGTCAATCCTCCTTATCTACTTAAAATATTTGTTTTATATCTACAGGGAACAGCAAGTACAGTATTAATTGTGTAATAAGACTACTCTGATTCGGTTAGTAATTATAAAACTCTAATTACTTTACGTTGAACCGATAATCGTACTTTGATTGGGTGTCTAATGGAAATACTGTTATCTTTAGTTACAGTTTTGACAAGATATTATCCACCATATCTACAAAGAATCCCCCAAAACCCATATTTCTTCTCACTTTGACGACGTCCTCCTAAACAGTTTGACGAAAAGTTTGATTAGTTCACTTAAAATATTCTATAAATTGTAAAGAAAATTGAGAAGATTATCATGAAATGAAGCTATTGATTAGTGATTTATAAATTACATTTTTAAATTTATATATGTTGTAGGTTACCTTATCAAAAGATGCCTTTAAATATTTTATAATTAAGTCGACTCCTTTAGTATATCGACGTTTAACCGCTTATAATTGATGACAGAATAACTTTTGATGGTTTAAATGATGATTTATGCTTAAAAATTATGTAAAACTTCCAGTTATAAGCAATTATTAAGTAGCTGCAACTAATTGACTAATATTATAATAACAACTAAGGCTTACTTTATTATTTGAGGAATTTATTGTGCGTATAGGCCTATATTACTATTTTTTATGTAAATTTGAATAAAATTTATATAAGAAATTAAATTTTAATTGTAATTCTTTAAATAATAGTAATTTAATTTATATTTTATTGTATTAAGTACAACTGCATTTAACATCAATATAATTAAAAATTATGTAGCTTATTTATTAAATTGCTTATATATATATAGCCTATATATTGCTATGTTTATNAATGCAAAAAAAGTTTTAAATGTTTATTCACTTTATCAACACACATTAACTTTAGTCACAGTTAAGATTCACTTTGTTAATATACTATTATGTTTATAATTATGTTTTCTGTTATTATATTATGTACTTTTAATGTTTTAAAGTTGTTTTTATGAAAATTTACAAAATTTAGTACCAAAATTGACAAAAGAGCTATAAATAACTGCTAAATTTCTTGGAAATCAAATATATTTATTAAATTGAAGCATTTTTGGTCACTATTGTCAAGCCATCTTCAGAAAATAAATTGAATAACATCAATGAAATGGACTTTCCAGTTATGTTATTCAATTTTATAGATGTTCTGTTCCATTTCAACTTTGTTTGCCAAGGATGACTGGACTAAAGCAATTGAAAACACTTTAATTTAATAAATGTATTTTGTTTCCAAGAAGTTTTAAGTTATTTATTGCAGTTTTGTTTTAAAGATGATTCAACCTTTTTTTTTTGTTTTTATTAATAAGAAATTTTGCCTTTATTTCATCATCCAATAATTACAAAAAATGATGTGACAAAATAAGAAAACTACCAAGAAATAATCTATGAAGTAACTAGTAAANTAAATTAGATGAATTTTATAATAGATTCTTAAACAGACTTGATACTTTTATGGGACTGAAATTATGACACAGCAGGTAACGACACTCGGTTATAATGTCAAAAAATTGCCGGTCCCATGGATGACGTTATAAGCAGGTTAAACTGTATTAAATTTGTATAATTATTTAATATATCTTCATAAAAATATTTTATGAAGATATTTTAAGTAGACCCAAATGTAATTATTCACATTAGTTACATATAATTTTATTAATGCAGTTTATTGAAATGAATAGTAAAAATGAATAATTATGAAAAAATTTTTAAGAATTTTATCTTTATTAATTAATACTAGATTGATTTCAGAATCAAATTATTATAACTAGTAATGATTTCTATTGAAAATTTCTTATTTTTTCTAGGTAAAAGATTAAATTATCACAGTTGTATTCAATCATAATAAACTAGTTAAGCTGATATTATCAGCATGAAGTGGGTATTGTGATGTTAATGAATCCTTAATATTTTATTCATAAAATGATGAACAAAAAGCATTTACTTAAAATTGAAATAAGATTTATATTTGTTTGAATGTAAAAAGAGATAATAGTTGAGTACAAATGGCAGTATCTTAATTTTTTCTAGCAACTTTTGTCATAAAAAATGTATTATATAACATTTATTGTTTAAACACATTAAAATTTTAATTAAAATTAAATTTTATAAACACTGATTTGTTAATAAAACTATATTTATATGATAAAAGAAAAGTAATCTGGAAAGGAAATTTATTATTACTACTATTTTAAAACTTTAATTAAGTGCTATTAAAGGATCAATATATAGGATTTTACATTGTTTGCACTTAAGATTATAGATAGTTTTAAAATTAAAGACCTATACATTCCCACTGATATTTATCCCTACTTAGTTAATCTCAAGAATGGAGTTAGATAGATGAAAGTAGAGACCACACATGGTATACAGTTTGTGTATATTTAATTGGGACCTCCAGCCCTATGCTTTTATATCTGGTCTCAATTTTTATTTATTTAACTCTATTCTTCAGATTAACAAAGGACAGTCAGTGATTTTTTAATTAAAAAATGATTAAAAATTGCAGCATGGCATTGTGAGGATGTACAATAAATAATTGCTCATTAAAATTAAAGTATTTTATGTAAATATGTTGTGGGTTAATTCAAAAATATATGATATATGTCATCTTAAATATTAATTGTTAAATATGATTCAATAGTAAAACAATCTGTATAGCAATATTCAATATCTAAATAAATAGGAGTGAATTTTTTTTTATAAATTTGGTTAATGAGGATTTTTTTTGCTTACATTTTTGAATTTTTTTTTGGTCTTGTGAACAGTAAGAAGGAAAGATTAATTTGTATTATCTTCCCTTCTCTTCCTTACTGACATATAGTCATATATTGATGCATAAATAAATTAGGCATCTTACATGAATTATCATTCCTATAATTTAATTTTATCTATCAAGACTTTTTTAAACTACAACAATCAATCTACTGAATAAGTATTTTAATCAGTTGTCTATTTTGAAATTATATTCAAAATTAGCAAGAATTAAATAAAAATTCATTAGTGAATTTAATTTAAGAGGATATGCAGTATAAGGAAAGAAGATAATTCATATATATGTATAATGTACTACATTTATTATATATGCTTCTGAAGTGTCTTAAAAAAATTTCATCATTATATCTAAGTCTCATATAACAGCTTATGTAATTCTAAATTTTGATTTTTGTTAAGTCATAAAAATCATTAATATATGTAATGCAATATAAATATAGTAGAAAAACTGTAGAAGTTGTTTGATTATCTTAAATATAAATGTGGGATGGCTGGATGGCCAAGACAGTTAACACACTTTTTCATCTACTAGCCTACTACTCTGGGGACCTGGGATCAAATCTGGAGGAACTTTTCATGAATGGTCTATCCGAAATGTCAGGCTCCCTCATCATCTAACTGCTCCATTGTAGACCTGACCACACTCATGATAAATTTGATTAAAAGAACCCTCTTAGTGATCACAGAGTGAAAAGAATCAAATATAAAATAAAATATATAGCTTTTGTCTGACTCTTTCCACTCTGTGGTCACTAAGTAGCTTTTATTAAGATATACAGTTTAACCCGATTATAACGACATCGGATGTAACGACAACCCTAATATAACGTCAAATTTTTATCGGTCCCACGATTTTACTATACTAGATAATGTTAAAAAACCCTCTTGTAACGACATAAAACCCTGTTTTAACGTCATATTTGAAGCACTTTTAAATTTACAAAATTAAATTATAAATTTTATTTATCAAAGAAAATACTGTGTTCAGTCCTAGGATCAGAGTCCGCTTCCTAGAACGATTGTGGGTGGTACTGTCATCACCTGATTCAATGGGGTGAGATGCGCCACCCCTTTAAACGACATGACAGTAGGTTAGTCTGCATAGCTCTTATACTCGTGTTGTAGTTTAGCATCGAATCAGGTAAAATGGCTAGCTTAAAAAGGAAAGCGTTAACATTAGACTGCAAAGTAGAAATAATTAAAGCAGTTGAAAGTGGAAGAAAAAAGATTATGCAGAGACTTTGGTTTAGCAAATTCTACAGGTCTCGTAAAACTTCATCGGAAATAATGAACAAAATCTACGACTTAGAAAATGACATTGATAAACAATTTTTAGGTGAAAAATGCCTACAATCTAAAATAACTGACTTTTTTTAAGTGAATATTTTTATTGTTTCTTTTTAATTGATATACATTAATTTAACCTAAAAGTGAAAGATATTGGACTTCATGTCTATTGATAGATAAGCAAGAAACGAGAAAATTATCATCCAGGCATTAATAACACCTGGATGATAATTTTCTCATTTCTTGCTTAATTTAACTTTTTGTTGCCTTTTGATTCCACATTATTCTCAAAACCGAAAGTGCCGCCATTATCGAAACTTGACAAATAAAAATTTTTTATAAAAAATTTTTGAAATTTTTAATTACATCGTTGTAAATTTAGACATAATAATGTAAATAAAGTTGATTTAAATATTTAGTTTGCACTTTTATACATACGATATTAAATTAGATGAATTTTATAATAGATTCTTAAACAGACTTGATACTTTTATGGGACTGAAATTATGACACAGCAGGTAACGACACTCGGTTATAATGTCAAAAAATTGCCGGTCCCATGGATGACGTTATAAGCAGGTTAAACTGTATTAAATTTGTATAATTATTTAATATATCTTCATAAAAATATTTTATGAAGATATTTTAAGTAGACCCAAATGTAATTATTCACATTAGTTACATATAATTTTATTAATGCAGTTTATTGAAATGAATAGTAAAAATGAATAATTATGAAAAAATTTTTAAGAATTTTATCTTTATTAATTAATACTAGATTGATTTCAGAATCAAATTATTATAACTAGTAATGATTTCTATTGAAAATTTCTTATTTTTTCTAGGTAAAAGATTAAATTATCACAGTTGTATTCAATCATAATAAACTAGTTAAGCTGATATTATCAGCATGAAGTGGGTATTGTGATGTTAATGAATCCTTAATATTTTATTCATAAAATGATGAACAAAAAGCATTTACTTAAAATTGAAATAAGATTTATATTTGTTTGAATGTAAAAAGAGATAATAGTTGAGTACAAATGGCAGTATCTTAATTTTTTCTAGCAACTTTTGTCATAAAAAATGTATTATATAACATTTATTGTTTAAACACATTAAAATTTTAATTAAAATTAAATTTTATAAACACTGATTTGTTAATAAAACTATATTTATATGATAAAAGAAAAGTAATCTGGAAAGGAAATTTATTATTACTACTATTTTAAAACTTTAATTAAGTGCTATTAAAGGATCAATATATAGGATTTTACATTGTTTGCACTCCATTGATTAATTATACTGTAGAAAAAAAATTAAATTTTTAACAGAAGAAAAGAAATAATTTTGTTCATAAATCAGAACAAAATTATTCATTAATAACCATTTTGCTAATATTATTCACAAGATATTTTTAATTTGTCATAATAATAATATAATAATTAAAACATTAATTTTTTCTTTTTGTGTATGAAATTTTCTTCAATGTCATACTATAGGAAATGCATTTCTCAATAAAAAAACTTATTTTTTAAATAATAATAATAATGAAACACTTTATTTTTAGTATTTTGCGCTTCCTGCAACAATTGCACCTGTAAAATGCTCTGTCCTTCCATTAGGAAACAATCCTGAATTTGCACCATTTGTTAAGGAAATATGTAAGTTTTAAATTTTATTCTCTGATATATATTAATATCTTTATCTTAATATATGTTAAAAATTTTGAATAGTAATCAAAATTTCTTCAAATTTCTAGACTTATTTTTTTAAAATGTACCTAAATTTGATTACCATGTTTTCTTAATTCTAATGCACCATCGAATCTTATGCATATCCTATTTTTGATGAGTCAAAACTTGATAAAGTTAATTCATGAATGTAATGCACACCCTATGTGAAAATGCAGCTGCAGAAAGTTAATGTATTTAAAGTATTAAATACATTTTTTGAAAAGCATTTTATTCTTGTATTTATAGTGCTTCATAATATCTATATTTTTGAATGTGTTCTTTTATTACTCTACTAGCTGTTACCCACGGCTTCGCTTGCGTGGATTTTGCAAGCAAACCCTATTTACATTCAATATTTCAACAACCATAGTAATTGTTATTTAACACCTACCGCTGACAATAATGAGAATTGCCGAGAATCAAATGAACTGTTTTCAATTTGATAAATTTTCTGGAACGTTTACAATCATTCTATAATCAAACCAATATGCAAAAAGAAATTCAAATTTCAAACGGTTTGAACATTTGGTTAAAAAATCGAAATATATGAAAATATTTATAACAATGACTGAAATGTTATCAATTTAATACATCTAAGTACTTAATGAAAATTAAACATAGTTGAAAACGAAAAATTGCATCTAAAATAGTACAATAGAAGCCATTCTTCCAGTTAAGCCTTAATCCTCTCCCTCTCCCTTCCCGTGGGGGAATTTCAAAAAAGCCCTTCTTAGTGTGCATTCTCATGATGTACCCTAACTGTGTACCAAATTTCATCTTTAGGTTCTGGAACTTTCTAGAAAAAGCTGGAACATTCTTATTTGAAGCGTCGCACATTTTCGAAGTCAACCACTTTTAAACCCCATATCTCTTACCCCCTTATAGCTATCAAGATGCAACCACCATAGTGCACGATGGGAGACTTGGGGCTACTACCACACAAACACCATTCATGTGCGATTTGTAGTTTTGGCTGCAGAGTGACGTATAGGCACAAACACGTCCATTTATATATATATATATATATATATATGTACAGTGGTACCTCAAGATACGAAATGAAATTCGAACATATTTTTGCTCCACGATACGAATAAAAACTCATCATACGACATTACATTAGTTTGCAGCGCCAGTTTTTACTCACTTCTGTTCATTGGTCTCAGTCCGCGTGTTTGCTTCGTCGTGGAAGGATCTTGCTCGATAAAGGAAATCTTGAGGTATTATCAGAAAGTGGCTGATTGTATTGAAAAGAAACATCCTGAAAAGGTTCACACTGGTCGTATTGCTGTTCAGAGTAATGAAATTTGCCTAGTCATTTTAGAAACATTTTAAAAAGTAGGCAAAGCCAAACCTCTTTGGATAGATATTTTATCAAGCAATCTCTATCCAGTGAAAGTGCTGTGGAAGTGAAGGAAAGAAAGCAAAAAGCAGTGAATAAAAATATAAAACTTAGCTAATTTTTTAAAATCTTTTCTAAGTTATTTTTAAGTTATTGTTACATTATGTTATGTAAGTTAAGTTTTAGTATCATTTCCCTTCTCCCTCTCTTCCGCCACCAGTTTACACCTCCACCGTCGTCTATCCTCAAAGGTGTAAAGTGCAAATAAAACTACATTTTTTAAAATCAATTATTATTCTATTATGGTTATTTATACATTTACAACTACAAAATGCATTTTTCAGTGTTTTCCCTACTAAAGTTTTTTTTTTAATGTACTACTTAGCTTTAATTTAAGTGTGTTTTTCGTGTTGGAATGAATTATTTG